GGACAGCGGCACTGCGAGCCCGAAAGCTGCGGATCACCGACCTTATCCGGACCTCAGCTGGGGCAAATCGACTTTGCTAGAAGACAGGCACCCTGCATAATACTTGTCCTGGGCTGGACGGTCAATCTTTAGTGACAGGCAGCTCCCAACCCAAAATGTCAGCGCTCACACATGAGTGGGCAGCACACATCCCATTGGGCAGCGCCGGCATGGAGGCACCAGCCGAGTTTAAAGCGCTGCACCCACGTTTGGGCTGTGCCACCCTCCCCATCCCTCTGGGCTAACTGTCACCATGGAAACAGATAACGGTCCAGCATAGCCAGATCCTGGCCATTCCTATGGTACCCTATGCCGTCGGGCACATCCCGGTACAGCATTGATCCTGCTGCAGGACGGCTCTTTGCAAAAAAACCAGGTGGTTTTTGCCCCAATCCTGCCCAGTGCTGGAGGATGCCGGAGGTTTGCTTGGCTGCTTTGCCTCCCTGTGGTGCCCCGAGAGCATCCAGCCCCGGGCCAGGATCCCTGGGGAGCGGATGCAGGGGGGAGAGGAGCCCAAGGACGGGGCAGTCCCCTGTCTTTTCCTCCGGGAACTCTTAATCCTAGAGGATTAGCCAGCAGCCGTGTGGCGCTTCATCTTTCCAAAGCCCCGTAAGAGTGCTAAGCATTATTATTACTATTATGATTAATTATTATTAAGCAGATTCAGTCCCTGCCATGCTCTGTTGCCAACCTTGCTGCAAGCAATTTCCCAGCCTCAAAGGAGACGAACAAACACGCAGCAGCTCAGGAGTTTCTTCCTATATGTAAAAGCACATGGTTTTATAATTTGGGCTGGAAGAAACAGGGGACAGATTGGGGCTGGCTGGGATGTAAGAGGATCATCGGCTCCACTTTCATCCCAAAGCAACAGTATCCGAGTATCCGGATCCCTTCAGACCAGCTACCCAAACCCCTGCTCCCTCCCTGACCTCTTTCACTGCTCCAGCCCATTGCACCTCCCTGGGTGAGAAGGGAACCTTCATTTTTTAGAGTAACCTTTGTTTTTTAGGGAAATCTGCATGACTCAGTTTACCCCCATGCTACCGAGCAGGCAGGAGAGCCCCCCACCACGGTGTGGATGCTTCTCAGCCTCCTCGCTGGATTGGAGATGCTCCAGGGGCCTCATCCCAACGTGATTAAACAACTATTAGGCGCTTCAAAAAATGAGGATTTACAGATGCCCAAACCTCCATTTAAATGCAAATGTGGCAGTTTTAGCCTGGAACCGTGGAAACGAGGAGCATTACAGCAGCAGTGCCACCATCACCCGGCTCTGCTTGGTGCCATCTTGGGAGCAACGTGACCTCTCCATCTAATGGCTGGGAGAGGACCGGTGGGTCCTGTATCCCAAATCCACCCCAGCATGTGTATTCAGGATGCTTAGCTCTTTCCCTGGGGATGCTGGCATGGTGATGGATCAGGCGATAGGCTGGGACCTTCTCGCCACTAGCACAACCAAAGCGATGAGTGAGGGGACACGGGGGTCTCTCCTCATTTTGGGCAGACATCCTGCAAGCTTTCCCAAAGTCCCTGCAAGCCCTGGGACACAAACAGATGCCATCCCACCAAAGCAGTGGTCCAAAGAAAACCATCCCTGCTGTGCTGGACCTTGCCTTTACCTCCTGCCCCCTTTCATCCTTCACCCACCACCTACCAGCCCTGTTTCCCCATCCCCATCCCCCTTCTTACAGGTAATTACAAAAGACATCAATTAAATCCCCGGGTCCCCCCTACCACACACCCTGTTGTTTGAGGACCTGGCAGTGAATAATGCAGGAGGCTGGAGGGGGAAGAGCTGCTCAGGTTGTTTCATTATTGATGAGAGATGACAGATCCACGGCTGACAACCTGCCTAAGAGATATGATTAGGTTGTAAAAAATTAATCGTGCTTCTTAGGGATGACGCCAGCTGAAAACCCCAAGGAACGGCGTTATCGATGTTCCCTAATTTCAGGGGACTTTGAAAAGGTTTTAGCAAAATTTGGAAGAGGCAATTACATTCAATTAGAGTCACAAGTGCCGAGACGTCACTGCTGCTCGGAGCTGCCACGGCCGTATCCCCTGCTCCCCTACACTGCCCCTCGTATTCCTTACCGTAAGGCAGAGATAAATATATACATTTATACGTCAGACCTGCATTTTTGCCACAGGGATCCTCCTTCCCGACAACATCCCCCGCAGTTCAAGCTCGGCAGTCAGGCTCTGGTCCCTCCATCCTACCATTTGTGAAGGCAACAGCAAGCAGAGCATGCTGCCTGCCAAAAACGCCCTTGCCTCCCCCCACGCTCCGTGTTTCGCCCTCCCAAGGTCCGTAAAAACCCACTGATGTCAAGGAGAACTGCGCTCATCCTGGCATGCACCCGGAGTCTGGGTTTCGGCAGCCCAGCTCTGCATCTCTCAAGGATGTGGCGCATCCAAGCCCCCAGCCCTTTGGGATATTAGGGTGGGGGACACAAAACCAGGGATGCTGCGGCTCGACAGGGCTGGGAATGCCAGCAGGAGCGATGGTGGACTTTGCTCAGTGCTTGCCCTTCCTCCCCCACCTCATTACTGGGCACAGTTACTGCCGTGGCTGGGTTCACAGGGCCACCAAGCACATACATAATTCATACTTCCCAGCTCACAAACGCAAGGATCTTTGCAGATCTACTTGCAGATTAAAAACTGTGGCAGGGAGAAATGAAGACACCTGGGGGTCACAGCCGTGCGTGGGTGGCCAGACCCTTTGCCAATTAGCTGAGCCCCGAAACACGTGCCCAGCCTTGATGCGCATCCCTGTGTACCCCAGCTCCAGCCTTGGCTTCAGGACCCTCTGAGTTTGCAGGCGGGAGGGATACTGCTTTCCCCGAGGTTTTAGCCAGACCAAGCCCCCCAGTAATAGATTTTGGGTCCCCATGCCAAATAGGATGGACGGGAGTGGCGGAGTGGGTTTTGGCCAGTGCTGCTTTGGCCCCTGGCACAAGCTCAAGATGCATCCGAGGGATGCATCACACCAGTGTTTGCCCTGCTCCAAAGTCCACCTCTTAATCTAAATATCCTCACTCCCCCAACCTCTTTGTTGCTGCATTTCCCCACACTGCACCCATACAAGGTGACAACTTGCTGAACATCCCCCTAAAAAACGCTGGTGGGCTCTCCCTGTTCACAGCAGGGTTGTGCGCAGGGGTCCCCAACAGCCAAGCCAGCATGGGGACCAGCATTTTTTTATATAAATATATATATATATATATAAAAATATTACGCTATTTAGCACATTGTCCTCCACCTAACGAGCGTCCCTGGCAAGTCTAGCGACAGATATACAACCACCCCCCTCCCCTTCGGCACCACCACCGTCCCCATGCGAAGCCATCAGGTGAAATTCAGTGCCTCGGCATTGGCAGGGGGACATCTCGGAACTTGCAGTTGATGAGGTACGTGCCCCAAGGAGGTTCAGATGCTCCTCCCCGTCACAAAAGGCAATGCCTGAGCTCACGCAAAGGCTGGTGAAGATCACCCGCTGCACAGGAGGTGGTTTGGGAGGCTGTGGACACCGGGTTTGAGCTCACAAGCACCCACCACCCATTAAAGGTCCACAGCAAGACCTCCTCCTACCACACGTACCCATGACCCATGCAGTTGGGACCCATCACACCCACACCTCATACAAGGAGTTCTTTTAGCATCACTTGGGTTCATTTCTCTGGCAAATCCCACCAGATCAGGACCAAGCTAGCGGGGGGCAAGTCCCTGCATACAAACAGGAGCAGCCACCACCCCCACCCACGTTTAGGCTGTTTCTTTGCCGCCTCGTAGGACCTCATTTCTTTATGCATCTCTCAGCATGCAAGACGTTCCCCTCGGGGAAAAGGAAATTAATTTTATCCCTTTGAATTCAGCTCGCTTAGCGGCGGTTGTGGAGGGATGCCATTCCCCAGGCCCCCTCCTTTCCCCCCCTCCCCGCGGTCCAGGAGTGGGGACCTGGCTGCCTTGGGGACAACAGGGACAACAATTCCCCTAAAGCTTTGAAATTCAGATCAGAACCAGACACATCGCCGTCATCTTTCCAGAGGGAGAAAGATGCAAGCGTGACACTGTCTGGCATCCTGCGTGCCTCGGTTTCCCCACAGTGACTCCAATTCCCACGGTCATCCCACACGCAGCAGTGCATCACTTCAAAACGACAACTCACATCTCTCCCATCCCTTCCCATCCCAAATATTTTCCTGGTCTGAATGCTTTTGTTTACTTTCCTTAGTTCACCCCTCTCCCCATGCACACAGATGCAGGTGTCTGAATGCAGCGGCCACCAGCTGCAGTTTTACTCCTGCCTTTATTTGCTCTTCGGTACTGGATTTTTCCCCCTCCTAATGCCCTCAGCTCCTTTTTCACCAGCTCTTTAATTCCCCTGCCACTTCCAAGCTGGCCTCAAAGAGACCCCAGAAGCTTTCGGACTATTTCCCGTCACCCTTCATTAGCTAGCGTGCCGCAAACGAAGGCTACCAAATTAGTCACCCGCCTCTGCCGCGGAGCAGCTGCTCGGTGTCAGACCAAAGGTCTGCCCGGCACCGGGCTGCTTCTCCCTCCCTTCCCTGTGCCTGCACCCAGGGATGAAGGACCTTTCCTGGACAAAAAAACCCTTATTTTGCCCTTCCGTTGCATGATCCCTTTTAAATATCAAAAGAAACAAGGAGGTAACACCAACGGGCTGCTTGGAGGAGATACTTTTCCTCCCTTTGTGCTTCCTTTTGCCTTTTTCTGAGCCTCTCTGTTTACCAAGCTAATAAAGCCGGCTCTGTGCTGCCAGCTCTGGGCTGCACCTTTTCCCTGAAGCCCAGCCCATCCCAAACATGCAAAGCTTGTCCGGAAACCTTCTGCCAGCTTTGCCCGTTCAAAGTCACCTTGCCCCAAACCTTCAGCTCCACGCTCCGGGCTCACTCGGCAATCATTAATCGGCTTCTCCGCATTCCCGGCATGGAAAAATGCCCCAGCGAGTAACCCTGCCCTGGCAGTCCGACATGCAGCTGGCCGGCAAGCTGGTCCTCTCCGCCGCCGCTCTGCTCCTCCTGACTTTGGCATACAGGTTTTATAAGTCTCGCTCGCTTGCCGGGGGCAAAATCCCGCCGGCCGACACGGGAGGAGAGCAGAGGGAAAATGCTGCCCAGGATGGGGATGGCGACGGTGCGACAGGTCTGCGACAGAGGAGGGTGTTTGGTGGGGAGGTGAGGAGGGTTGGCGGGGATGGAGAAGCGAGCGGTCAAGCAAGCGGCCGTGGGACATGGCGCATGCCTCCCCAGGGGGATCGAAGTCTGCCAAGGGGTGAGGAGGAGGAGGAGGAAGGAGAGGAGATGGTTTCTAAACCGGGGCTGACTCACAGCAGAGCAGGGATGGCCGAGAGGGGAAGTGAGCTGGGAAGCAAGCTGGGAAGTGAGATGGGAAGTAAGTCAGGAAACGAGCCAGGAATTGAGCTGGAAAGTGATCCGGGAAGCAAGCCAGGAATCGAGCCGGGAAGCGAGCTGGCAAGCGAGCCAGGAAGCGAGCTGGGAAGTAATCTGGCAAGTGAGCCAGGAAGCAAGCCGAGCTCTTATGACCCTGGGGACGCAGCCGAAACACCGAGCAGCCACAGGGAGGAGGGCACGCTCGCACCAAGCACTGGGCTTTCCCCAGGGATCGCTAATGCCCAGATGGCAGGTGATGGATGTGCCCAAAGCATGGAGCAGGATTTGGCTGTTGGAAGTGTGAGCCGGGAGGCCAAGGGGTGCTGGGGGATGGTTCAGACCCTCAGCGTCACCTCGGACCTGGGTCTAAAAATGACAGCAAGCAGCGCAGGTTCAGACACCTCCTACTCTTTCTCCTCGGTCGCAAAGATCCAGGTGGAGGAGAACTACATCCCCGAGCAGCGGGCAAAGGACGGGGCCAGGCAGCCGGTCTCTGGCCTCAAAGGCAAAGTCTATGACTACTATGCCCAGTCCATCTCCCAGTCCATGTCGAAGAAGAGGTGCCTCCCCTACATCCCCCTGGGAACATCCCGGCACTGCAGCTTAGAGCAGGTCAAGGAAAAACTGCAGAGCTTTGCAACCCAGGAGCCAGACCCAGCCTCAGCAATACAGGATCCCACCACCTCCTCCATAGTTCCACCACCTACAGGGAGCTTGGAGATCTCCCCTGAGCCACCATCGCCTGGCCGCAAGGACAGCATCCTCCAGATTGCTGACAGCCCCCACCTCCAGCTGCCCATGGAGGGTTTTGGGGTCACGGTGCCAGCCGGCACACCACCTGCAAGTCCCCGACCAGGGCTGGTGGCCAGTGCTGGCCTGTTCCAAATGCCACCACCCACCCACCTGGACATGGGGAACTGCTATGAGGTCCTCTGCACAGCCAAGGCGCAGAAGCTCAGCCACCTCCAGGAAGCCGCCTACAAGGTGATGAGTGACAACTACCTGCAAGTACTGAGGACACACTCCATCTACGGCCGTCTCAACGCCGGTGAGCGGGAGCTCATCCTGCGGCAGAGGATGAAGGGGAAGATGTACATGGCTGTGGCAGACATCAACGTGCAGGAGCCCGGCCTCCAGACCAGCCGCCTGTGCTACTACGATGACGGAGGGGACCGCTGGCATCACCTCTGCCACGTGCCACCGGAGGTGGTCTCCCGGGGGTGCGCCATGTGCAGCATGTTCAACTACCTCTTCGTGGTGGCCGGCTGTGAGGGCACAGGCCAGATGCAGAGACCCTCCAACCGTGTCTTCTGCTACGATCCCCTGACCAGCATCTGGAGGGAGATCTGCCCCCTGAACCAAGCACGGCCACACTGCAAGCTTGTGGCCTTGGATGGCCACCTTTACGCCATTGGTGGCGAGTGCCTCTACACGGTGGAGCGCTACAACCCCCGGCAGGACCGTTGGACCTTCACCGCACCCCTGCCCCATGACACCTTTGCCGTGGCCCACACGGCCACAGTGTGTGATGGGGAGATCTATGTGACGGGGGGCACCTTGCGCTACATGCTGCTGCGTTACACTGCCCGCTCGGACAGCTGGAGGGTCACCCTGGCCGGCGGTGGCAAGGACAGGACAGCCGAGATGGTGAGCGCTAACGGCTTCATCTACCGCTTTGACCTCCATCGTAGCATGGGCATCAGCGTCTACCGCTGCAGCGCCAAGGCCAAGCTATGGTATGAGTGTGCCACCTACGCCTTGCCCAACCCATCCGGCTTCCAGTGCGCCGTGATGGGCAGCCTGGTCCACTGTGTTGGCCGGCGCTTCCACATACGCTTCTTGGCCGACCACATCTCACCACGCTTTGGGACGAAGGAGCTTCAGCCCTTCCCATCACCCCGTGGCAGCATCCTCCCAGTAGTCCTGGTGCTGCCAGAGGGAGGGACGGTGCAAACACAGGTTTGAGGGATCCGTGCTGGGGTCTTACGCAACAGTGGTGGTGGCTCAGATGTGACACGATGGTGAAAGCTGGTAGAAGAAGCCACCAGCACTCATTGAACCACATAGCATGGGACCAACACTACCAGGGCAACGTGACCCACACCTACCATCAAGCAGGCATCCTCCCAGTCCCTGTAAGGAAGGAAGGAGACAAACTGTCCTTGAATACTACCAGTAAACCCAGCCTTGAGGACACAAGGAAGAGCAAAGCAGGAGTTGGGTGGACTCGTTTGCTTAGAGGTATTTAAACATAGGCGTGCTTGCTTGGATGCAAATAAACCACGGCTCGCTACAGGCTCCCAGCTGTGCACTACCCGATAAGTAGCTGCTTTACACACCGGGTGTTTAATATTGACCTGGACATGCAACACATGGGGGATTTTAGGGTGGAGGAACACAGCAGGGAGGTTTCTACCTACCTTCTACCTAAGGAGGTATCACCCAAAGGTCAGCCCCATCAGCATCAAGCCAACATTGAGCCTTCAGGCTTGACCGCACACATCGCCCCAGGGTTGGAGGGTGGGGGCCAGAGGGCATTGCTCCTACCAGTGCCTTGTTATCTGTTACATTCTCCTCAGCACAGAATTTTATATCTATACATATATAATTTATATGCACACGATGTAAATAGGCACTATAGATTTATAGACAGCTGGTCTTAAATGGAATTAAAGTGAACATTTGGTAAAATTAACCACAGGCTACTGTTGCGCATCATTTCAAGCCGTAGCCAAGCCTAATGGGAACAAAGAGGCCGATGCATGTTTTACATCACTAATTACTACACAAACAATGTCTCTGAGGAGGCAACCAAAAACAAACCAGGGCCTTGGATGTGAGCAGCCAGGCTTTCATCCCCTTTCCGCAGGTTTCACCGACCTCACTCTGCTGTCTCCGTGTCCTGCCAAAAGCCTACTTTGGGTAATTGTATTTTCTTCCCCTCAAACGGCTTGTCATCCATCATCTGTCAGCCCCAGACGGACAAAACTAGCTTCCAGACGGACAAACCCCTCCCGTACCTGCCTCCTCGGTGGCAGCAGGTCCTGAGCATGAAGTCACAGATGCGCTTGAAGTGTTTGGAGATAAGAGATGATGCTGGAACAGCCCACCGTATCACCATTCACGCCTTGCTGCTCATGGTGGTTTAGGAGAGCTCAGGTTAATGTTCTCTTAAAGTGCTCCCAAAAGTATTTATTAATTCTCTCGGTCACTGCCTAGAGGCCTCATGTTTCTGCCTTCAAAGGCTTCCTGCGAAGGTCAGTGGCATCCACCCATGTTAGGAGACCTTGGGAAGCTGCATTAATTAACCCTACCTCTGAGGTTTGCTCGTTAGCCATAGCACGTTGCTTCTGCTGATGGAGGATGGGTGATGCACCCTCTCCCTGTGCTAAAATCTGCCATGGTCCAGCCTCTTTCACCCATCCGGGGGCCACCTCTTCCCACCCCAGGAGGACCACCACACCGACGACGTGCCAGGACTGCAACCTCCTGCATCGCAGCACCTCTCTGTGCTGGGATGCTTGGGCTGGTAAACCTCATGACTCAAAAAAACTCCTTATTATTATCATTATTATTTAACTCCTTGTTATTTAGCTACCTCAATAGCCGGTGCTCAGAGCAGCAAGCTCAATAAGATGGGTTCACACATGCTGCAACACATCTTTACTTCCCCCTTGGCAAAACCCAGGTACCGGCTGCTCCACCAGAACAACCCAGTCCCTTTGCAACCCGCAAAAGCCTTTTGTCCCCATCAGCATCCTGGCTTCATGCCCTTTGGCATCCCTGCCATGGCAGGCCGGGTGTTGGGGAGGACACTGGCTGGGTGGGAGCTGGGCAGCCGGAGCCTTTCCAGGTGACAGCCTTTTTTTTCATGCCCAGAAAAGCTTTCCTGGGATCCTGCCCTTCTCACAGTGCCTCTTTACTTCCGCTTAATATTTCACCTTTCCTTTAACTCCTTGCTGCCAGGCTGCAATCTCAAAACCCAGCAGTTTTTCCTCATTCCCCAGTGTGACGGTGAGCGATGAATAACAACGACCGAGGGTGGGCAGCTCTCCCCCCGCCCCTGCACTCTCCAATATTAACATGATTCGTCTGGAGAGGCATTTTGGAGATTAAAAACACTGGGGACATCCCGTGCCAGAGCACTGCTTGTTCTGAAGGGAAGGACAACCAGGTTTGGAGCAAAAAGCATGCAGCGATCCTGTGGTTGATGGCAAAATGACTTTTGGCTGCGATTAAGGAAATGCAAAGGGGAAAGGACAAATGCAAACTGATACTCAGACCTGGATGATTTTTTTTTTTGCTCCCAGATACCAGCACAGGGGAGGAGCCTTTGGAGGGCTGGCAGGTGCAGTGGCAATGGCGGTGTCACCACCCAACTCCTGCCACCACCACCAGATGCCGGCCGTTGATCTCCAACTGTGCCGGACACCCACCTCTGTGTTTCTGCTGATGGGCTGCACCTTCAAACCGTGGGCTTGCAGCTCTCGGGATAACCGTAAGACCATTGAGCTGTTTCAGTGCAGCTTGCAACATCGGGATATTATTTATTTTCACTGATTGGGTTGGCAAAGCTGCTGCAATTTACAGGGAAAAGGGTTGGGAGGCACATGGTACATCCTAATGAAACTCCCACAGCGTGCTCCATGGAGCTACAAACCACCCCAAGCAAGTTCAAGTAATGATAAATACTTAGAGGTCGCAATAAACTCAGCTGGGCTGGGGGTTTACCTGGAGGGTCCTGCTCTTGGGAGCCTCTTCCCTTGCTGCAAGGCCGATCGCTGCAAACCAGGACCCTCATTGGGTCAGGGACCACCAGGACTGGGTGCTGGAAGAGAAAACACATCCACCACCGGGCTCATGAGAGCTGGGAAAACCAATTTCCACCATCCACTAGCAATCCTTCCACCCCTATCATTCCCTCAAGGGTGCCACCAAGGATGTTCTCCAGCAGCAACCTCCTTCATCACCAGCACCTGGACCCATCGCTGCCCTCTGAGCCCCCCTGCCTGGTTTCTCTCCCAAAAGAAGGGTGCAACCGCTAAACCATGCTGCTTTGCAACCAAATACAACCTTTGCACTAAATTCGGTATTTTCTTCTAATCAGGAAGGCCCATTATCTACCCCCGCCATGTTTATTTAGGCAATTACATAGTTTAATGTACATTGATTCAGATTCTTAATTTTTACATTTTTGATTATGATAAAAAAAACAGGGAGTGACGCATTTCTTATTTGCTCGGCGCTCTTTTTTCCTTTGCAATGTGCCAGGCTGCATGCGAATGGAAATGGGAAGTCAATTAAAGAAATGCAAAACCAGCATTTTAAAATCTCTTTTTATTAGTTAAACACGGCTACCTTCAATGTGTCAGCTACAGCAGGGTGGAAAAAAAAACCAAAAAGCAAAAAAGTGAGCTTATCCAGACATGTTTTGCATTTAAAACCAATGCGATACATGAAAGAAATATTAAGCGTAGCGAACTGACAAATTAAGTATCTCATTCCTGACAAGCGGGAGCAAACTCGTGTCGGTGGTTGAGGAGCCGAGTGGGAATTTAAAGCCAGGGGAAGGTAAAGATCCGTCACAGCATCTCTAGGGGCCGGTGAGGGAGGTGGCACCTCTCAGCCCCTGGCTGTGGTTCCTCCTAGACCCTCTGGAGAGTTGCCTACACCAACACCTACGCTGCTACGGGTTGTGTTGCCATCAGGAGAGCCTCCATGAGATGTTTAAAGCCAAGGAGAGATGTCCTGTCCTCTCCCACTCCTTTCTTCACCCCTCCTGCACCTAAGCCAAGCTGACCACCCACACATGGCCACCAGCAAGCCTTGGTAGAGCAGATCCTGCAGGCACCAACCTCAGCCTTTCTCCACTCTGGTTTGCAACCAGGAACAACCCAGCTGCATAGACAGGGAGCTGCACCCAAGCTGCAGAACCTCATTTACAAGCAGACGCTAACGAACCAGGGCTCAACACCATCCCATCGCTTGCAAGACCCAGACCTGCTTGCCCGGTGCCAAAGGGACGTTTCTTGGCGGCATCCGCAAGGCACGGCTACCGTCAGCCAGCTCCTTGTGAGCGCGAAGAGGTCAGTGCTAATGAAAGATGCTATCGCAGAGCCGGCGTCCGGCCAGACAAACGTAATTAGCTGTATTTGCAGAAAACAAACCCTGGCGAGGACGGGGGGGGGGGGGGGGGGCACATCCCCTTGTGATCATTTTGGGGAAAAAACACGGCCATTTGGAGGCCTTCCAAGCTAGAATAACAGCCTCGCCAATGACTATTTAATTAAAACCCGTGCGGCGTTCGAAGGGAGAAGGGCTGCGAGTGAATAAGCGCGGTGATAAAATATGCATCGACTCCAGCATAAGTTCTCCCTCCCCGGCACAAGCCTTTGCTTAAACCGTTGATGGTTTTTGATTCACAAGCTCCAGCAAGGAGGGAACATTTGCCAGCCACTATTTCAATCCCGCCGGGAGTTTTTTCCGGAGGTTATAGCCACGCTGTAGTTTAGGATGTGTCAGCGCTGGCATCATAAACACAGATCAGAAACGCTATAAAAGGAGAAAAAAAAACTCAAACCACACTCCTGGCTGGAGTTTAGCATCGTGCAAGCTCTGGCCAAAGGCAAATTATTTCTCTGTTACTGAAATAAAATCAATAAAGCTCATTTTTATTTACAGAAGAGCCAAAGAGGGGGAGAAGGGAAATCTCCTCAAGCTGCGGAAGAGGGATAGGGGAGTTTATGGTTTTCAGCTGGTTTTCAACCAAAACCACAAGGCACTGGGCAGTGATTTCAAGGCAAAAGGTAGCAGTTGGGCTCTTCTCAGCTGCCTTTCATGGACCTTATTGAAAATATTGCCAGGTCCCTTAGAGGTGCCAACCCTGGGGTGAAACCCCTCACCCCGAGGCAACCTGGGGAGATGCTATCTCTCAAGAAGCTACCATCTAGCTAAATAAAACCAGA